CCCCCTTGTAAATTTCCAAAATCTCACCTCCCCCACCCCACCCACAATAAATTAGATTAGACTACCAGAGTATTTAGATTACCTTTTATTTTTTTTTTCGGTGAGCCGTACGAATACATTTTACATAATAACTGTACATTATACAACCAAACTTAATTTATTGTTTTCAAATTCACAGATTTTCGTTATTTCACCATCGCTATATTTCCCGCGAACACTATCTAAATTTCTGATCTGATGCGAAACGATCATATGTGACATTATCTGACTGCGATAAATGTATTCTCCGTATATATACTTACTAACGTATACCCATCGGCTCCAGTTAAAATATCAGTACTATATTCAATATGGTGTTATAATATTAACAATAATTATAATTTAACCAATAATATTAATGCCCTTCAATGTGTTATTATACGAAAAAAATATTTCGTATAAATGTTGCAGATTCGTATCAATACGAATAAACGAAACATATCGTAAACAATTTAATAAAAATCATTATTATACTGAGCGCGGTTTTTGAAAAATGAATTATCATTGAATAAAGTATACCAGATAGTTAGATAAAAAAATGTACCGGGTAGTGCCTATACTTATAGGGTAAGTGAAATTTATCGAGGGGGCCAAACTTAAATATAGATTTGGTATTTTTCAGTTTGTTAACAACTAAAAGCTGACCGCAAACATGTACAGACTGAAATTACTAAAAACCACAATTTAGATTTTAAGATTCACAATTTAGAGCGAGGAATGTTTTGGTTTTATAATGGTGTTTATTTTTTTTCTGCGAAAAACTTTTCTACCAGCAATTTTATTCCGATTTATAATGATAGAACTTTTTCTGAAAGGAATTCTAACTGGGGTGAAACTTTAGGAAGGTAATTTTTAATTTCCCAGTTGTTTTTATAATAATGGGAAAAAATGGGAAAACCAAGAAAAAACGTAGGAATAACGGGAAAATGAGTAAAATATTAAACAAATATTATTAAAGAAAGTATATAACGCGTACGCAATTATTTTACCATAATATAACATATATATATATATTGTTTATAAAGCAAAACTATTAACCGAACTCCGTTCAAAATCGTTTTTACATTAGCAATGGTTAATCGTTTAAAGATGTAAAATCAACTTCTCCTCTAATACTTTCCCAACTTCTCACCTACAACAGTAGCCCACCCACGCGCTAAGTTTATCCGTTTTTTTTGTACTTAGGAGTGCCCAAAATAATTATTACCGTTAAAAACTAGGTATATAAATGATTTTTCAAGTGCAAAAAAATCACTATCGTTAAAAAAAACTATTAATATTTACATATTATTTTATCTTTTATTCTCATTTTGTTCGTATAAAATCTGTAAAATGTGAGTGAAATAAAATAAAATAAAAAAAAAAATAAATCCATTTACATTTAAACGTATTCCTTATGTATCTTATATTATATTTATTTAAATAATAATAATACTGCAGGCAAATGGCTTTTTTGAGTTATGATAAATATAAGTAAATAAATAGTATTAATAAAATTATCGCCGCGGTAATGCGTTTTTAATTTTCCATTTAAATTCCCGTAAGTACTTTACTGTTTTGATAACAGTGGTTTAATAAAAACCCTTATACACCGTCATCATTTTATTGGCGGATTTTCGAACCCCGTTTAAAATTTTACCCGACGGGAAACGCGCGTCCCTCTTTTCATAATAATAAAAGACGTCAAAAGGAGGATTTAAACGATTTAAAACGCCGTCCTTGGGTCCCGTTCCCGTTTCCTATTATATTGTTCGATTTACAGACCGCTTTCGGAATTTCCTGCAACATCGATAAATCTTCTATGTATTCTATTTTAGACGCCTTTAAGTTCGTCGCGAGTTGTCCGCGTAAACGCGATCAATTACGATAGCGCCGCAATAAAGACCCACAAAACCGTAAAATATAGTCTTTGTTATGAACGTAAAATCTATAAAAATTTACGCTAATAAACAGGGTTCTAAAAAAAAACAAAATAATTAATTAATAATTAAAAAAACATACGTGAGCTCCAACGCATGGTAAATGTGACTAGAAAAATAAGCGGGCAACCCATGGTACATATATCGACCATAATGATAAGAAACGGAAAACAATGAGGGGGTCGAATAATATTCAACACCGACTAAATTAATATCATGCTGAAGCAGAACGGTTGACAGCGGGAGAGGTAGGGGAATATCGCGGTATCGGTAGCCCTCGAGTAAAAATATTATACGATGGCATTTTCTATTTGAAATCTTTAGTAATCATATCTCGTAATTTTCCGTTGTTCTCCTGTTCGGCCTTGAGGCGTTTTTCCAGCGATATTTCGTGGACATTTCCATTGTCGTAACTGTTCAATATGTTCAACAAGTCTCTTTTTTCCTCTTTAGTGTTCGGCGATCTTTGTGATCTTCTTGGATGCATTCAATTCGTTTTGAAATACACTCAATTGCGAATGATAGATTATAATCGGGTGATCCGTTATCGACTCGATGTGTAATTTATATTGACTATCCGAAATCTGACGAATTTTTTTCAAATTAATCTGGCAATAAGCAATCATTTCGGACCCGACGGATTTCGCCCTCTCTTTTTGTTTCAACACCGAACCAACGTGGTCTTTTACACTATCGAGATTGTTAAACTTTTTCGTATCCAAAATGTCCGTCAAACACCGATAGTATACGCGGTTGATATTGACCAAGGACATAACATTTTGCGACAAACGTTCACCCATATCGGTCACCGATTTTTCAGTATCATTCCCTTCGAACATTTTCACATTCAACATTCCGAACACGTGATTTTTGATCTAAATACAATTTTTTATTTCGTGAATAAAACGGGGTTTTAGAAAGCAATATCATAGCTACAGATTACTGTGTATATTTATACTAGCTGATCCGGCAATGCTTTGCTATAGAAAGATAATAGTGTAATTATAATAATAATCGTACCTAGTTTTCTTGTCAGTAACAACCGAATTATCATCTGTATCACTAAAGTAACCCACGAATGAAGACTATATGCTATCTTTTCAGTTGGACCAAATTACATACATTTAGCGCATCGCGTATTTTTATATACAAAACAAATATACATAATATTAACACAAACAGTAATATTGAAAATATTAAATATTTTACAAAGATTTCGACTTTATCGACCCGTTGCGCATCGTCTTCTATGTTCCTGCGACAATCGGTGTGCGACGTATTAATTTTTTTCACAAGAAATGGTGAACGACTTTTTTTTTGACGTCAAAGTTGGCTACTTTGGCGTTCATCGATTCGTCTTGAAACGGCTTGTGTTTTTAGATCAACGCCTTCACGGAGGGTCGGCTTTTCGCAATAGATTTTTCGATTTCTCTTACATGGTAGTCGGAAACAGCACAACCGTGAACTTTAAGAATTGTTCCAGAGATCGGACGTCTCATTGGAAATTAGGAGGCTGGTGTGGGTAGGACGTGCGTGGCGGAAGATAGGTATCATAGTCAGAACAACCGTTGAGGGAATTACAACTGGCAAGAACCCTCTAGGGAGACCACGACTCCTTTGGGAAGCTTGTGCGAGGATGAACGCGGAAAAATAGGACCAGATGATGTGCCATGGAGGATAGCCGCAGAGGATAGGGATGGATGGAAAGGTATCTGTTTGACGGCATGGTCACGATGACCAATGTTTATAATATATAATGAATATGTAATGGAACCAATACAAATAAACGTTTTTATTTTTAAACCCGCCTAATCCTATGACACTGTTCGTCCCCCGGACACAAGCTGCATATAGAAAGAGCATTGGCAGTATTAGTATAATAATAATGTTCGTTTATTATTATTTTTTTTGGGGTCTGTAAACACAATTATTGTTCAAAATCTTGTTCCAATCAACATTTGTATAGACATTTTCGAGTAGAATTTGTAATGTATAAAATTGGCACATTTACGAAATCGTTTTTTTGATTACTTTGTTGATTTTTGGGTCACCTTGAAATCAATGAAAAAGTAGGCAATTAGTTATAACAGTTAATGTATACAAAATATACAATCTTTTATAAAAAGGCCATTCAATATCGTGTCCCGGTATGGTGATTTCAAAATCTGGAAACTCTATCGGTATATATCCTCCCTTTCAACTCTCCTCCTAAAACAGTGACACGCTTGTCAGAATATCAGCACAGTATAAGGCTTTGTACGTTGAATTTGATGTTTCTTAAACGGCCATAAAATGTTTAATATTAAACATTAAAGATAAATTCTTTCGCAAAAAACGATCGTTATTATTATATTTATCGCCATTCTCGTACGTTACGGATAATTTTAGAAAATCGATACATTTTTTTTTTTTTTTTTAATGAGTTATGAATATATATTTTATTGTATAATTATACGGACGAAATTCGTAATTCAAAATTCCCCTCGGGAAATTATAATAATATGCAGTACAGAACGCTGATCAGTGGACTTCTCACACCCCAATGACCGTAAACTGTTATAATACAATTTACTTTTTTATTATTATTTTTTTTTTTAATTATTATGTTTTCACTTTTACCAATACACTTCCGAAAGGGTGCAGGAATTATTACACCACATTATTATAGTGCGAACCGTTCGCCCCAAATACGCGGAATTTTAATTTGAAGTTGTATACAGATATGATAACAACTAAATTGCTCGTTTAATTTTATATCTGTACTGCTGTAATGATTGATTTTTGATGAGTTTTTTTTTTTTTTTTTTCCAATATCGTTCTCGGAAATCGGTCCAGGTATAATAATTATTGTCGCCATAAAATTAAAAACGAATTTCCGTAACAGACGCCATAGTGTACAGTGACATCCGCCAAATCTTTATTTTATATATTGTCGCGTATACACGCCGAACGTTGACCTCGCTCTTCGAGACGTGGCCGCGGCCACAGCTCCGCAGGACTTTATGCGAAAATTATTTACCGTCCTTTGAACGCGTTACTGTCGGATTTTCTGACAGCAATAGTAAAGGGCGGCGATAAAATTAATACTAATAAAAGGTTCCCGCCCCAAATTCGATATGTACGGTATTTTTCCGTGACGTTACTGTTCCTCAGATTACACGTTTAAAATATAAATTTTATTATGTATGTAATTATATGTTGCGGCTATTGTTGTAAAATCGGTTAACGTCGTAATGTAGTTATACTTCAACCGGTTTCGCGCCAATAGTTTTAATATTAAAATGCTTTGGTCCGTTATCAGACTTAGAGTTAAGAACATAACCGTTGTTTGTGCTTAAAACCACAATATCGAAATAGAAAACCGACGTATACCTACAAAACAAACAACGTTCTGACCCTCAAGTTTTATAATAGGCTGATACACAGTAATATTAAATCTAACAGCGTAAAATCGGTTTTTGTACACAAACAAAAGTATAAATACAACGGCATTAAACAATTTTAGAACATTAACCGAAAACCGTACACAACACGGAGTTTTTTTTTCAAACAATCCGTGTAGGTCTCGATTAGTTGACAATATTACGGTTAGCTGTGGCTAGATTTACATTTAGTCGATTCCGAACGCCGGAAAAATCAGTTGACGAGATGCAAACGTAATTTTCCAACATTCATCGTAATGTTGACCGATTCAATAAACTGTACCCCGCGTTAGACTTAAAATTATATTAGTGTTGTATACGTTAAAAAAAAAAAAAAAACACGAGATCATTTTCAGAAATATTTGTTCCGGACGAGAATCTCGGGTACACAGTAATATGTGCAACGCGCAACTACTTAATAATAATATTATGTGCGCCGCCCGATAGGACTGAAATAAATAAAAGAGAAGAAACCTAAACGAAACAGAGTGGCCCTTGTTGAAAAGCCGACTGCTAAAAAAACCCTGTACGTAAACTCTACGCGCGTGTTCGCGTAGACGCAGCTAACCGCTCTTGTGTTTTGTTCAACACGGTTTTTAATGAACACGTCGAGACGGATATTTGTAAATTAAAACGACAGCGTCGGACACAAAATGAATGCCGCCGGAATGTCTTTTAACGCTTGAACCGCGTATAAAAAAAAAAAAAAAAAAGGGTGAATACAGTACCTACGCGTTTACTGCACCGCTCCTAAACACGCGTGTACGGCAAAGGTATACGGTGGCCAATTAAACACGATCGAACGGTATAAAAACATTATAAACTTTTGGCTTTAATAATTATATTAGTTCGGGAGAGTGTATAAAAATAAAACGCGTTTAATTTAAACACGTCGTATTTCGTCGGGTAAAACGGACGGAGCGAGTGCGGAGAGACGAGAGTGAGAGAGAGAGAGAGAGAGAGAGTGAGTGAGTGAGAGAACGAAAAAGAAAAACGATCCGAAACATCTGTGATGTGCGCTGCCGTACGTCGTCACAAAGCGTTTTGTACGACAATTTATTATCTGATGCGCACCTAATTATTATTATTTATTACAGGAGTCCCGAGATGGGTGGACGATTTCGTGGTTTAACGTGTCCCCCGCCCCGGCGAGATGGCGCGATTCGACTTAATGTGCATGTATTGATACGTACCAATTACAGGAGTACAACGTTTTCAAATCGCGCGGCCGGTTCCGACGCCCTCCGCCGTTTTCGAAAATTTGAACGTTTGACGTGCGCAAAGTACGGTCGGTTTTGAAACGGCGATTATGGGGGCGGGGTGGAGGAGGGGCACGGAAATAGACCTGAAATCGCGCGTTATTCGATCGGACGCGCGTCTTTTGGCAAGGCCGGCGATGTAGAAACGGGAAAAAGAAAGAAAATAATAATAAAAAAAAAAAAACCTGACGGCGTTTCCGACCTCACCTCGGCAGTCGAAAATAAAACTACATAACATTATACTTTAGGCGGAATACTCGCCGACTATAAATATACCGATGCCGCCGCCGCCGCCGCAGACGGAAATGCCCGGTAAACGTTAATAAATGATATTTTACACGCATATACGGTTACCATGTATTGTACGAAGACGGGTCTGCGGTGACGGTCCCGAAGCTATTTTATATGGTGGGGGCGGTGAAAAACGAAATTACGTGTTTTCTGAGCACCTCCCTCTTCCTACAATATACATTTGATAAAAAAAAAAAACGCCCGGAGTAATTTTGTACCTGTAGGTATACACAGCTGTGTACGGGGACTCGAAAGATACCGCAAAACCATCGAATGTTTTTTACGTATGTAATGTATGTATTGCCGTGATACGTTCTACAAATGATTACGTCTTTTTCGTCTCCTATATTTCGTATACTCGAGCGGGAGGGGGGGGGCGAGCTTTTTTTGAAAAGCAAAACAATACAGTCGTACATTTAAAAAAAAAACCCGGGGCACGTCGAGTGGGCGAGGGACGGGTCGATCTGTTTATCGCCCAGGCCTGTAGCGATATCGCCGCCGCGGCACGCCCTCGACCCAGCGATTTAATACGCATCGCAATCCTCGCGTTCGCCTCGGCTTTCGGTTTACCCGATTTTTCAGCGCGGACTCGAAAGCGAACGTTTATTTTCAAAGAAACACCCGTCGATCGCCCATGTTTGCGTCGTCTAAACCGCCGTTGTGTTTGCCCGGAGCGCGGCGGACGAGTACGAGTGACGGCCGTAACTGGCGGGCGATTTAACGTAACTCTGTTACCGCGCGACTACCCGAGGCCGTGCCGTTTCGCCCGAGACAACGGTCGCGGACAACGGTAACAAATCCACCGCGATTTACGGCACGCGTTCGGTATAAAACGCGACGATGCTCGGGCGGCGCGCGAGACCAGAGCACGGCGATAATTCC